CTTACTGGTTAGGGCAAACGATTTTCACTTCATTCTTGTAGTCAGCCATTGCCAAGAAGGTAAGGGACATTTTGTCTGGTAAGTTTTTTTTTCTTCTTTCAGGTGTATGGGAAGTTGACTAATGGGCACTTGCTATTAAGTCCCTTCAGATTTGCATGCATTATGCACACCATAAACTGGGCCCTTGCTCCTCTTGCCTTGGCAGGCAAAACTCTGTATGAATTTCCTGCTTTGTTCAGGCAACCAGGGAGGAGGATGGCAACGACCAACAGGTTGTCACAAGTAGCCAAGACACTCTAAAGTAGTTTGTTACAACTCCCAGTGCAAGGATTTTCTACTCTGACAATGTAAGCTTTTGTTTTCTTCCAGGACCAGTCCACTGGCCAATTTAACCCTCTTCCAACAATTCCTAAAAGGAAGAAGAGGATGAGGATGAGCTATATGCAGGTTTTTGTACTTCTCTTTTGTAAGGCTGTAGGATGATTAAAATGTAATATTCTACAGAGGTACCTACAATACAAGTATTTTTAGCACTTCCAATGGATTGTGTTGCATGATGTTTAAGCTAGAAGCTTGTCCTAGAAGAGTGGTGCAACACTGAACAGAAGGAAAGAGCAGCAGAGTGCCGTAGTGTTCAGCACTTCTACCTTGCAGCACTGGGTTGCTCAGTTCAAACCCCAACCAGGACACTTCTACCTGCACTGCAGGATGTCAGATTAGGCACTTATGAGGAAAAGGTTTTCCAGCATAAAGGAGTCATCTATTTGGTTGCCGTGGCCTTCCTGAGATTAGACAGATGCATGGAGTTGCCATTGGAGGATTCTGTGTCCTTCAGAGGGAGTGCAGTATCTTTTGTTAGAAACTTTGTGTTGGTCTTGATCGTAGGGGTTAACCTGCCTTAACCCTTCCCTCTCTTCCAATTCAAGGGAAGTTGGGATGAAGAATATTAACCACTTGACAACCGGGCTATAGCTAAATGACGGCTACAGCGTGGTTGTCCAGTTCTGGGAGGGCGTCATATGACGTACTCCCAGAACGCACCCTCCTGCACGCCCCACAGAGGCGCGCACCCAGCGATCTCCGTGATCAGTGCCCTATGGACAACAGCTGATCACGTGATGTGGTAAAAGGCCAATCACAGCAGCCTTTTACCACGTGATCAGCTGTGTCCAGTGACACAGCAAATCACCGCGTAAATGCAGTTGAGGGTTGCACTTTCCTCACGCTGTCACAGAGTGAGGAAAGTACTGCCGATAACCGGCAATTGTCAGAAAACAGATCGGAACTGATCATCAGGGCTCTGATGATCAGTGCCATCCATCAGTGATGCCCAGTCAGTGCCCATCAGTGCCGCCTCATCAATGTACATCAGTGAAGGAGAAAAATTACCTGTTTGCAAAATGTTATAATCGAAACAAAGAAAACTTTTTTTTCCCCAAATATTTTGCGCTTTGTTTTGTTTATAGCGCAAAAAATAAAAACACCCTACCTAATCTTTCAAAAAAGGTCATTTGACTTCTACGCAAATCCTTGTGTATCTGCCTAACTCATCAAGGTTCAGGATAAACCGTTTTGGTCACTAGAGCATATTGATGGTAGGAAGCTGGGTTATCTTGGCTTACCTCCTTTCTGCGTTTCAATGCCTGATGATCAGGACCATGGTTTCTCTCATCCCTATATTAAGGTGGGCTCAATGGGAGAAGCTTCTTGTCCTGAAGGGCTTTTTTTCTCCAACATTAGACATGCACCAAGCTATTCATGACTTGCAAGCAGTCAGATGAAGCCTTGGGTGCTGTAAATCTGCAGAGCTTTGCCCAGTAGAATCCCCCTATTGGGAAGTTATGAACATTCCCGTTTTCTGGCCAGTTCTTATGTGCTCCCTTTGCCTTTCATCACCTGACAGTAGGCTCTTTAATCGCTGAAGAGGCTGAACATCATCTCAGTTGTGTTCTACATCAAGGGGCAGATTGGAACCTGCAGAGTCAGGCTACTTAAAGAGGAAGAAATGACTGTGACCTGGGTAGAGAGAAATCTCTAACATTTCATCTACATTTAGAACTTCTGGAAAAAATCCATATTTTGTGACCCAATTGGGCAACAAGCGGTTACTACATCCAGGTTCCTTCAAGTGGATTTCATCTCTACTCAAGATTTCAGTTAGATCTGCTAGCATCTTCTTACTATTACAAGCTGGAAAGCCTTTTTCTGAGGAGCATGGGCAAAACCCTGGATGTAGCTGCTGTGACTGATCAGGAAAGGTCTCACATGCCATATGCTATCCCTCCAGTCCAAACCAAATATAGTTTTTTTGGGGGTCTATTGCGAATGACCGTGTCAATCATCACAGTAATTCCCTATTGGTGAAACAGGCCTTGATTCCCTGCTTTACCAGGTTATCAGATTCCAGTCCTCTCTCTCAGATGAGATCTTGTGCTGCAGAGTGCAATACTCCCCCCTTTTTCACCTCTTTTCTAGTTTTTCATTCTGAAAGGAAGAGACTAATCAGCCTTGGCTGTTTTTCTCTAAGCGGTTATCTATAAATCCTATAAAAGGAGTTGAATAAAGCTTGTTCAATTTGGACTGCTTTGTTTTCTTCTGCCTCAGTCCTCATGCCAGGTACATTCTGGACTTAAACTGATCTTAAAGTGGTTCTAAAGGCTTAAGGTTTTTTACCTTCAAGCATTCTATGCAGGAAGGTAAAAAACCTTCTCCATGTAGCAGCCCCCCCAATACTGACCTAAGCCCTCACTCCATCCAGTGATGTGCACTGGAGTCGCGGCTATCCCAGGACTCCCACTTCTCACTGACGGAGACAGAAGCAGAAGCCATTGGCTCCTACTGCTGTCAATCACAGCCAGCGAGCCAATGAGAAGAGAGAGGGGCCAGGGCCGAGTCGCAGCTCAGTGTGTGTGGACACACAGTGCAAAAAAAAGCCTTTAGAATTACTTTAAGCTTTTAGAAGGAAGATCTCTGCAGTCCCTGTCATATCCAATCTCTCATGGGTGGAATACCCCCTACTCAACCAATACCTTAATGGAGGGCTACATCTGAGACTCGAGGGAGAGCCAAGACTCTCTATGTGGGATTTACTACTTGCTCTGGACTTCCTTCCCAGCTCCAGATGAGATCTTTTTTCAGTCCAGTGTGGGAAAAGACTGAGCTATGAAGACAGCCACTCTACGGGCTCATCAGCTAGGAAGTTTGCCAAGATCAGGGCTTTAGGCTAGGAGGGGTATTTTGGTGATTTTCAGCTCCAGGTGGGATCACCTTCAGTCCAGTTGAAGTAAGGATTGAGCAATGACAACAATCTTTCTAAGAGCTACATCTTCAGCCAGGAAGTTTGCCAGCATCAGGGCCTTTGGGATCCTTTGGAGGCTTGCTGTTCCAGATTGGATCACTTTCAGTCCAGTTTTGAGAAAATCCTTGGTCATGAAGACACCCTAAGGGATTTTTTCTTAGTCAGGTTTGCCAGGATCTGGGCCTTAGGCTATGAGGGATCCTTGTTGGAATTCTGCCTGATGTGGGTAGTGTTTATATCCATACTGGGTTGCAATCTGAGGTGGCTTTGGCATCCTATGAGAACACAAGATTTGCTCTGGCTTCATGCCATGGATTTTGGGATATTTCAAACATGCTCACAAGCTACAGCTTTGCTTAGAACATTTTTATCACCCTCTCTAGCTGAACCAGCAGGACATAATATCATCCAGGATCATCGCTGGATGGGTCACTCCGGCAAGCCAACTGGCTTATAGGGTTTGGTTCCTACAGAAATTGTGACAACACAGTTAACCAGAAGACTTCATGGGCTCCCTGTGAAAGGGCACCAGGTATATTTGTAGGGAGATTACATGTTTTCCATTAAGGCTGTTCTGGCTCATTGTGGTGTGTAGACAGATTCCTTATACTGTCAAATTTTTTTATCCATAAAGGTTTCTGTTGGCTAAGTGCTATGATTGAACCCCTACTTTTTTCGTCATCCCACCCTTATTTTTGTGCTAATTAGTTCTCAAAAAGTATGCTGTCATGGAGTCTGTCAGAACGTTACAGTATATATTTGATAGGAAATTTTCCAATTTTGTAGGTAAACTTATTCCTTAAGGTAGAAATTTTAAAGAGAACAAAAAAAAAAAAAAAAAAATATGTATGGTAGTACCTACAGTTAAAAAAAAGGTTTTAATAACTTCAGCACAAGGTACATTACTTATAGTTAATGCAATGGGTCCTTTGTGCTGCTGGATGCAAACTTAGTTGATATCATCTGTCTTCCGATGCCCCCCCTACAACAATCTTCCAGTGTGGCAGGGGAGAGTAAATTCGAGGGACTCATCAGGAGTGCTGACCATGATTACCCTTTCTGCTCCCCTCCTCCATTCATAGATGCTGTACTGTAGCTTCCATGAAAAAAAACAATGAGCTTTGAATGGAGGACAGCCAGATGAATGAAAGGCTTGCCTCATATTCATATATTGTTGTTCATGCACAGAATATGGTATAGAATGCTATAGTATTAGAAAAGGTGGTCAGAAAGGGCAGGCATAGTCTGTTATGATGAGTACATATGACAGGCCCTTTGGTTCTATTAACCCCCACCGCCATAGTCTTTCAGAGGATAAAAGATTTCAACTAGATCTTCAGCCAGGAGCACAAGGGACACATCGCATTGTAATGTCCCTTGTGCGGATTTTGTTTTTTGTTTTTTTTTTTACTAAACTTGGGCTTTAGGCACAAAAGACTGAAGAGCTACCATGTATATTACATACCAGTTTGAGTCAAAGGCAGGATGTCCATTACAGTTTGTAAAACATTAAAGTCCACATTGAAAAAAAAAAAATTCTACACTGTGATATTAGTGAAGGAGTGGCTGCCACAGCTGATCTCTCTGTCTGAAAATGCTAGATGCCTAGCTATCAAGCTGATTTTTCATGACAGGTGTACTTTTAGAAATCTGCAGGTGTGAACATGAATAGATGTTAAAATACCTATACTTAAGAACTTACCTTATTATGAAAGTTAGACTGTCCAGCTAAATCAGGATTAGGAGATCTAGCTCTAGGGCTTGGCCACTCATCACCAATCAGAGAAGTTCGTAAGGAAACCTTATTTATTTGCTGAATATAGAGAAACAGAAGAAACTTCAAGGTGTCCACTGACAGCTGTGGGGAAAAAAAAAAACCATGAGGATGTTTATTAAACAAAGATCATACGAAAGATCATATGCCTGAATTTTCCAATTTTAATCCACTTATAATTTCATATACCAAGGCCTCATATACACAGACGTTTACATGTTGAAAGTCTTCTAGTGTATAATCCCTGGCGTTGTCCTATATCTGGGGAGCCTTCAATACAAGTGAATAGCTGAGCATGGCCGTACTTGTGTAAACACAGATCGCCTATGCATTGGCATTTACCCGTATGCATAGTGTACACACAAACGTGTCACTTCTGTGCTATATGTGTGGTGAATGCGGATGCAGCATTGTAGAATTTGTGCTATCAGACTTTTCAACATGTAAATGTCTGTGTACACGTAGCCTTATTGTAAAAGGAGAGTGCAGGAAATAAAACAGAGTTTTTGTTTCCCCTCTAATATTAGTCTGTTCAAAATACAGAAGGTTAAATAGTTAAGAAGACAGCAGTATAGGAAGGCTAGATATTGGTACTGCATTTAAAGCAAAACATGTACATTGAACGTAAAAGAAATATAGAAAATCTTGATTGGGGAGAATACTATAAAATGGTTGCCAGACATGGAAGAGCTTCATAGTAAGAGCTGTTAAACTTGTGGTATAATAAAAAAAAAAAGTTACACAAGAAGACTACTTATAAATTTGATAAAAAGGAAAATACTAGGAAAATGCACCTGAATCCTATGTTGCATGGAATTAGGTGGCCCGTGGGCATGAGCCCTAACATTTTGGGAAATTAAAATACTTCGATATGGCTAGCTATAAGCACCACAGATATACATGCACAGACAATGCAAAGATATACAACTATTACAAACAAGTAAGGGCAATAAACCTGCCTCTTGTATTCCCAGCAAAATCAGTGTATAGGCAAAGACACTACATACTGTATCCACTACTTCATGGCCCTGTCATTTAAACCTGTAAAAAGGAATTTGGAAGAGGCTCAGTTTAGTGTTGCCTTAACTGCCTACAAAACGTGATGCATTGTAAACACAAGACAACCACTTAACCACTTGCCCTCTTGACCAGGCTATTTTTTGCGTTACAGCACTGTGTCCAAATTAAATTTATGTCCTTTTTTTCCCACGATTTGAGCTTTCTTTTGGTGGTATTTGATCGCCTGTGCGTGTTTTATTTTTTGCGCTATAAAAAAAAATAAAAAAATTTAAAAAAAAGAACCGACAATTTTGAGAAAGAAAAAAACAATATTTTTGACTTTGTTATTAAACATGTCCAGTAAAAAAATGTTAAAAATCTCATTTTTGGCATAAATTTAGGACAAAATGTATTCTGCTACATGTCCTTAAAAAAAAAATCCCAATAAGTGTAAATTAATGGGTTTACTTGAAAGTTATAGCGTTCACAAATGGCGGTATAGATACTGGGATTTTTTATTTTTTAATAGTAATGGCAGCGATCAGCGACTTATAGCGGGCATTCTGACACTTAGTGTCACTGACATCCCCAGTGACACCAATACAGTGATCAGTGCTAAAAAATAAATAAATAAAATAAAAAAGCACTGACACTGTACTAATGGCACTGGGCAGGAAGGAATTAACATGAGGGGCGATTTACATTGGGCTGTGTCCTTCACTGTAAGCATACTGCTTTGCATGGCTGCCCTGTGCACAGCCATCCAAAGCAGTGTGCAGGAGTTGACAGGGAGGAGAACTGTTTTGTTTACAAATAGTTCTCCTCTCTGTCGGAGATGCTCACCAATCACCGGGCACTGGCAAGTAATCACCGACCGGAACCCGGTGATTGACAGCCGCAGCTTGAATGGCGGCGTGGGTAGGGCATGTGCACACCCCTACCCGTAAATGCGAAATAAAGTATAAATATGTGATTTTGTGCACCCGTGCCACCCTGTAGCAGTATATCTGCTATAGGGTGGTCGGGAAGCAGTTAAAAATACCTCTGTAGTAAATGGTTTTATTTACATGATGTAGGAGGTTACGACTGTGGTACAGAGTAGACACCACCAGCAGTGCACAAGTACAATAAACAAGATGTAAAAGACCAAGTACTATAGCAATATTGGGTTGCAACACATGAAGCATTGTAAACACAAGACATGCAAGAACGTCTTAAACTTCTGCAGCAACAGACACCACCACACAACCTACATAGTTATTTGGGAGTGTAACACTGTGGTACAGGATAGATAGCACCAAAGAGCATAAGTACAACAAACATCATGGGAAGACATCGGACTGCATGCAGGCTCAGTCTCCCATCCCTGACCGCAGGTTACTGGCTACATGCAAATAGCGTTGACTGATGTCAGCCTGTCAATACTTTGTACAGGCTGAGCGGCCGCAGCTATTCGCATGCACCTGTCATCCCAGCTGCAAGAATCCAGTGTATGCAGCTAAACAGCCATGTGAAAGAGGCTTAAAGGTTAAGTTCACTTTACTATCATGTTACACCCATGTATTAGGGTGTAACGTTACTATACAGCACATCCCCTCCCTCACAGCAGGAAGGAGTGCTTTTCCCTGAACCCGTCACTGTTTAACCACTTGCCTACTGGGCACTTAAACCCCTTACTGCCCAGGCCAATTTTTTGCTTTCAGCACTGTTGCACTTTGAGTGACAATTGCGCGGTCATGCAACAGTGTGCCCCTTATGACATTTGTATAATTTTTTTCACACAAATAGAGCTTACTTTTGGTAGCATTTATTTGCCACTGGGTGTTTTATTTATTGTGCTATAAACAAAAAAAAAAGCAAAAATTAAAAAAAAAAAAAGTTTTTCTTTGTTTCTATTATAAAATTTTGCAAACAGGTAATGTTTCTCCTTCACTGATGTGCATTGATAAGGCTGCACTGATAGACGGCACTGATGAGGTGGCGCAGATAGGCAGCACTGACAGTGGCACTGCTGGGCACAGATCATCAGTGCCCTGATGACCAGTGCCGATCTGTTTTCTGACAATTGCCAGTTATCGGCAGTACTTTCCTCATGCTATGACAGCGTGGGGAAAGTGCAGCCGATAACCGGCAACTGCATTTACCCGGTGATCTGCTGTGTCATTAGACACAGCTGATCACGTGGCATAAGGCCTCTGTGATTGGCCTTTTACCACATCATGTGATCAGTTGTGTCCATAGGACACAGCGATCACGGAGATCATTCGGCTATCGCCCAGTTGTCAAGTGGTTAAAAACAGTAATCTGTGAATGAATGAATTACAAGCCCTGTCTGCCACCACGGCAGAGGGCTTGTAGCACTCACTAGCGCCCAGTAACTGTCTGCCCATACTGAGGTACGGCAGACAACTGTCAGCAATGTCTGCAGGAGCCTGACATTGCGCCTGCGATCCACTGATCGTGGGTACAATGCTTTGCAAGCTTCAGGCAAAAAAAAAAAAAAAAAAACAGCCCCAACACAAATGCTTTTTTTTTTTTTTAATTTACCTGTAAAATCATGTGCTTTTTTTTTTACTTTTTACATGGCTTCTGAGTGAAAGTTGAGGTCAAACTGCTGCGACCTCTGGAACAGCCTGGTGTTTGTAACTAGTGCAATCAGGAATGCCAAACACCAGTGAGGCGAATCAGGGCTGCTCTGTGCAAAACAGAAACTGTGTCTTCATTTCAGGCTGTGAGGCAACAAAATGTGATTTTAAAGGGGGGGGGGGGGGGGAATTCTTTTCTATACCTAATGTAAAACCTTCTGGAGCTCACGTGGTTAAATATAGTTTGGACCAAGATGGTCCAAACGATCTATATCCTTTAAGAACACATACAGTGGCTGTGAGAGCTGTATAAACTGTATGCAGCACTGTGTTCCAGCAGCAGTACAAGGTCTTCCTGTCCTGTTCTCAGAACAAAATAGTCAGCCATTTACAGGAAGATTTTACCTGCAGAAAGCTCTACTAGACATAATGCCCTTTGCAAAATCATCTACGCTCCTCTCCTGCATATATTGCTCCCTAGCATACCCTGCACTCTCCTCTCCTGTACACTGCCTGCTTAGACATTCCTTCAGCATTCTCATTCTAACACAGGCACACTTTTTGGGTCATAAAACACAGGTGCAATATACAGTAAGCTCTGCGGTACCTAGCAGATAGCAGTATCCATTCACAGCAAAAAAAAAAAAAAAAAAAAAGCAAAGTTACACCTACGGTAACGCCTTTTCTAGGCGTCTTGCAGGACAGCACCTCAAGAGACCTCAGCTCCTCCCCACCTGAGGAAACACCTCCACCCAGAATAAAAGTACGGCCTCCCCACTCTGACCTCAGTTCATGACTTGGCACCTCCGGTCACCAGGGGAGACACAATACAAGACACAAAAAAAAAAAGAACCATACTGTGTAACCAAATGCTACAAAGGGTGGTTATGGCGCTATCCTGAAAGACTCCTGGAAAAGGTGTTACCATAAGTGTAATTTTGCATTTTTCCCCTCCCCATCTTTCAGGACAGCACCTCGAGAGGATATACAAGCACTCACCCCTAGGGCGGGACCATCGCTTGTAGAACTTTGCATCCGAAGGCCTGCTCTTCTACCGAGACCAGATCAAGTCTGTAATGCTTAACGAAGGTACTGTAATTGGACCAGGTAGCAGCCCTACAGATCTGTCCTGGGGTTGTACCAGCCAGCTCAGCGTACGTGGTCGCCATGGCCCAGGTGGAGTGCGCCATGATGCCCTCCGGGACTTCCCAGACACTCAGTCAAATACGCCTGTCTAATTGCCAGTCTCAGCCACCTAGCTAAAGTTTGCCTAGAGCAGGGGTGGCTAACCTGTGGCTCTCCAGCTGTTGTGGAACTACATTTCCCATGAGGCATTGCAAAGATGGGAAGTTACTGACTTGCAGAGGCATGATGGAACTTGTAGTCCTGCAGCAGCTGGAGAGCCGCAGGTTGGCCACCCCTGGCCTAGAGGCTTTACAACCCTAGCTTGCTCCTGAAAATGATACAAAAAGGGAATCCAACTTCCTAATCCCTTTAGTC